CCCCAAAACCCCAAAACCCCATGAGAGCAAAAGAATTTATGTAATCAAGATTAATTTATATCAAAATTCAATAATTGCTTAGCTTAAATTCAGACAAACTAGTTGAAAATATCATCAATTCTTAATGGTAAAAAAGTTGCCAATGGTATACTGACATGAATATTGTCCTTTTTATATCTTTTAATGATAAATTTCTTAGCACTTTCCTCATATTTTTGGCCATCTATAACAAGTGGGATATTTTCCAACTTTAGACTGTTGTCATTAAGCATTCCAGATATTCTTGCATTTTCTTTATTTGAATTAGGCCTGCCCTAACTACTTTTCCGTTCCTCTCTCTTAACACTTGTCTGTTGGGTTGGCTTTTAATCACCTTTTATTTATTCTTTTACAACATACTGAGGAATGATAGTTACTTCGCTGACGAACAGATTTGTATGAATGGCTTGGATTGCCCCTCTGAATTTTTTTATTTTGGATTTCTTAAGCTTTTGATTCGTATTTAAGAAATCCTAATTCTCAATCTTGAAAGTTTTGTCATCAACCATATTTAATGTTAGAAAATCAGTACTAGGGTCAGCTTAAACACATCCGATATCAAACATGGTTGGAGTGTTTATAAGTTTGAGATAGGCAACATTACAATCTAAAGGTTCAATTTATACATCGCTAGAGTATTCTTTCCCTGTATAGTCCATTCTCTTAACTTGGAGTTCTACTCTTACACTTTAATCAAAATGTTAAAATATTGGATTGTTCTCATTTTCCTTTAATAACTACTCTAGCTTGGACTCTGCTTCAATTAGTTAAGCTTAGTTAGAAGCCTAAAGCACATCATTTATAGCTTTGAGTTTGGTATAGACTGAACTGTGACCATACTCGAATCTGTTTGTGAAATATACAGATTTATAAGGTTTTTCAGCCTGCTTATCTCTGAAAAATTCACAGACAAAAACTTTCACATTGAAGGTACGAGTTGCATCCCGTAGGAAGTCCTGAAGTATTTAATCATTTAAGTTCATTAGCTTAGTCTATTCATCTAGTGAAAATTATTAACTCATGCTTTGTAAATATTAATCTATGCTCATATTTTTCTTTAAGGTTGCAGTGATAAATGGATTTTAAGTCTAAGCCAGATAAATATTATTACAGTAGAGGTCATCATGCATTGCAATATAATGAGCTAAGGTGTTAACTTTAAATGGAATAAGAAACACTCTCACATCATGCTTGTAAAAGTTTGAGTTTTTGGAGATGTATTCCTAAATAGTAAGACATTCATGAGTTATTAAATACCTTAATCAACGATTAAACAAAGGAATGAAAACTCTCATCATTTCCAACAACAACTAATCTAATAGGTGGCATAAATCCTTTATCTTCTTGCTGTTTTGAGATAAATTAAGCGATGCTTTGAGTTGACTCTGGACTTTGAGATCCAAAAATTAACTTAAACTTTGGATAATGCTTCAATTTCTTGTTTACAAGGCCTTTTTTTATCATCTATAGTTTTTGTAAAATTCTTTTATACTTACAGTTTTATTTAGGACATAATCAGCTAAAGGCTCCATAACAAGCTTTCTAAAGGTACGATCAAACTCATTATATGGAAGTTCATTTGATTTTTCCATGATGTCTTATTAGAGCTGTTTATAAACATTCCAAACATTAGAAGTCAACAATCCTGATAAGTGCTCCTCTAAACTCACTGCACTCGTGGAAGATTTCCCCAATAAATTGTATGAACCTAGAATTAGGTTTAAGGTTTGAATAGTTACCAAATAACTCAATCACAAAAGTATATCTCATATCATGAAGATGATTGAACTTTAGGAGTTATTCTTTTACGCTAGAAAAATAACTAATGTACTTGAGCATCGGATTTGTCTATTCTTATTTATTATCTGAAAAGATATAGGCTCTTTGATGAAAGATGTCTATATCGTCTTTTTCCTTGTTTATACTATGGTGATCTACATAAGGAAAGTCCTTTGCTAAATTCATTATTTTAGTGATTCCAGGAATAATTCTCTCTTTATCTATGATTTCTATTAGTTCATGGGGTATTATTCCATAAGGTAGTGGCATCATTGTTAGTTCGTGGCACTCTTAAGCCAAAGCTTTCATTTTATCCTTGTCTGTAAACTACAAATGGCTAAAAGCATATTTTAGAATATGAAACATAGGAAGGATTTTTTGGCATAGCTCTATCTCATCCTCCATCTGCTCGAATAACTTTATCTTATATTCAGCAAGATATTCAATCACTTTACTTATGAATCTATTATTCTCCTCTTCAGTCATATAGTCGAAGATAGTTAGAATATATCTATAGGTAAACAATGTTGCATTAGATTTGAGGTAGGGGTTGAAAAAATGAAGATTTAAAAGAGGCTCATTAAAATTTCTAAGCACTATTCTGACTTTGTCTAGTTTCCAACTCTCCATTTCCTTTTTAGGTGCAGCCATAAAGTCTTCTGGTAGAGTATCTATTGGAAAAACTTCAACACATTATTTAACAAGCTTCCTAAAGTTTTCCATTAGAGATTTCAAGGAATACATGCTATTTCTATCATATGTGTTTTCTGAAGTTGTAATGTTATTAACAAGAGAGCCTGTGTTATGACTAGCCTAAACCATGCTATTTCCGATTGAATCATGAAATGTGTTTATTTAGCTCTATCGACTAGGATTATTCCTACTAACTTTGTTCTTAGGAACTTCAATTCCTAATTGCTTAAGTTAGTCCTCGTATTAAATGCAGAACTGCAAATTTGATTTTATTCCATCTAAAATCGATTCCTTTTCTCCATAGTCTAGTAACTCATCTTACTTACTCTTGTTCTATAAAATATCTAAACACTTCTTGAATATGTCTCTTTCCGTCATTTAACTAGTATTTATATCATTTCCTCTTCTATGATTTACTATGGTTTTGATAGGTTAGTGTGATAATTTAATACCTTTTGATTCCATTGACTAGTTTCTAAATATTAAAATTATAAAATATTAATAAAAATGAGTAGATAGGTGCATCAGATTCTTGGGAGAGTTAAAAATATTGATTAGCTCAGGAAATATGGATTAGTATGTAAAATACACATAAAAACTTGAATTTATAAAGGATGATGAGGAGATATGTGAATTGCAAAACTTAAAAGCAGAAGGAGATCATAAGCTTTAAACTTATAATGTAACTTTCTTTTTTTACTTAACCTGTTTTAGAAAGAGATAAGAAAAGCACATTAGGGTAATTAATCATACATTTAATTTACTAGAATAGCAATATATTGAAGAGTATGGAGAACCTTATCTTTTTAAAATAAAGATATTTGGTCATAAGTTCTACATTGATCATTGCTTGCTGGCAAGATTAATAATTGGTTTCTTTGTGCTATTGTCTGTTATAGGAGTATTTTTCGCATTTTTCATGGCTATGAGTGGACAATGAATTTCACTAGTTATCAATTCGAATATATTTTTATGTTATTACCTCTTTGTATTTTAATTAACCTAGAATAACGGGGTTTTGGGGTTTTGGGG